TAAGGCCTCCCTCCGAGTTACCTCCTCACTGGTCCCTACTTGAGACGCTTCAGTCGCGCCCAAACGCACTTCCTGGGATTTCAACGCCGTGAATCCACGTGACTGCCGCGTCCTGACAATCCTTCAGGAGGGGAGAAAACACACAGACACTATTAATTGCCAATTCCCCGGAAAGTATGGGGAAATATATGGGAAGTGGGGGGAAAGACGAGAACCCAGAACATGTAAGAAACATATCGCATGAAGACGCAGCCTTTGGGGCCATCGTTGGAGCTCCTTATGGGGTCACGAATCGTGTGATGGGGTGTGCTGGAATAAGTGGCGGTAGCGCATGAGGACGCAGCCACTGGGGCCTTCGGTGAAGCTCCGTATGGGGCCACGAGCCGTGTGATGGGGTGTGCCGTAGTGGGTGGCGGTGACGCATGAGGACGCAGTCACTGGGGCCTTCGCTGGAGCTCCTTATGGGGCCACGAACCGTGTGAGGGGTGTGCCGTAATGGGAGCCGCTCCTCCTCCTCCTCCTCCTCCTCCTCCTCCTCCTCCTCCTCCTCCTCCTCCTCCTTCTCCCCAGGGGTCTGGAGCTGTTCCCCGAAACCTCGAGTGTGGCGGGCGCATGGTGGCGGTGGCATTGGCGCCTTCGGTGGAGCCCCCTTATGGGGCCAGGAACCGTGTGAGGGGTGTGCCGAAATTCGTGTGGGGGACGCATGCAGGCGGTGGCACTGGGGCCTTCGGTGGAGCTCCCTATCGGGCCACGAAACGTGTGGGGGGTGTGCCGAACTGTGTGTGGGGGACGCGAGCGGGCGGTGGCACTGGGGCCTTCGGTGGAGCTCCCTGTGGGACCACGAAACGTGTGAGGGGAGTGCCGACATGGGCGTGGGGGACGCATGCGGGCGGTGGCACTGGGGCCGTCGGTGGAGCTCCTTATGGGGCCACGAAACGTGTGATGGGGTGAGCCGACATGGGTGTGGGGGACGCATGCGAGCGGTGGCATTGGGGCCTTCGGTTGAGTTCCCTATGGAGCCAGGAAGCGTGTGAGGGGTGTGCCGACATGGGTGTGGGGGACGCATGCGGGCGGTGGCACTGGGGTTTTCGGTGGAGCTCCCTGTGGTTCCACGAAACGTGTGAGGGGTGTGCCGAACTGCGTGTGGGGGACGCATGCGGGCGGTGGCACTGGGCTTTCGGTGGAGCTCCCTATGAGGCCACGAAACGTGTGAGAGGTGTGCCGAAGTGTGTGTGGGGGGGTGTGGGGGGGGACGCACGCAGGCGGTGGCACTGAGGCCTTCGGTGGGACTCCCTATGAAGCCACGAAACGTGTGAGGGGTGTGCCGAACTGTGTGTGGGGGACGCATGCGGGCGGTAGCACTGGGGCCTTCGGTGGAACTCCCGATGCGGCCAGGAAGCGTGTGAGGGGTGTGCCGAACTGTGTGTGTGTATGTGTGTGTGTGTGGGGGTGGGGGGGGGAGGGGGGGCGCATGCGGGCGGTGGCACTGGGGCCTTCGGTGGAGCTCCCTATGGGGCCACGAAACGTGTGAGGGGAGTGCCGACATGGGTGTGGCGGACGCGTGCGGGCGGTGGCACTGGGGCCTTCGGTGGAGCTCCCTGTGGGGCCACGAAGCGTGTGAGGGATGTGCCGAAATGGGTGTGGGGGACGCATGCGGGCGGTGGCACTGGGGCCGTCGGTGGAGCTCCCTACGCGAAATATGTGAGGGATTTGCCGGCATGGGTGACGATGCTGGTGATGATGACGCTCGTGATGATGATGACGATGATGACGATGATGACGATGACGATTATGATGATGAAGCTGATGGTGGTGGTGCTGATGATGACGATGACGATGATGACGGGAGGGGAAAGGAAAGGGGAGGAGGTAGAGGAGGAGGAAGACGAGGAGGAGGAGGAGGAAGGGAGGAGGAAGAGAGGAACACGGGGCGACGTCCCTTCAAAACGAGGACCCAACAACACAGGTTGGTTGGGAAATGCGTGCTGTGCAGTATTCTCGGGCACGCGTGGTGGTTGATTTTTCCGGTGCGCGCGAGACCACAATCATGTCGGTGGGAAGGTCAGCGCCCGACCACGGTGCGTTTTCCGGTGAAGGCCTCCGGAACGTTTGACAGGTCCTTTCTACACGGTCGAGGTACGACCCGTGGGACATATGTTTATCCTGTGTGCCTTCCCTCTTCTCCTCCGCCTCCTTCTATCCTCCTTGTCCTCCCCCTCCTCCTCAATTCCCTCCCCCTATCATCCTCCCTGCCCCGTGTCTCGGCTTGGGCGTGGTGGGCGGCCCCCTTCGTATTCAGATCCTGTTCCATTCTCGTCCCCCGCAGTCGTCGCCGCCGCGCCGCCGTCGTCGCCGCCGTCGTCGCCGCCGTCGTCGTCGCCGCCGCCGTCGTCGCCGCCGGCCGACTCTAAGGCTGCCCCCTACGTGCGCCGACATGTCCGGTACCGGGCGCGTCGCCGCACCGGCGCCCAGCGGCCTCCCGACCGACCGTCTCGGCCCC